ATTTGCTTTAATTCTGTGTTATTTAATAGAAACAATTGTTTACATCAGGAAATTAATTTAGCGTAAACTTGCATAAATCTTACGATGCCGACGTAATATTGTGTAAATCTTACAGTGCCGACGTAAGTTTTACACTTTTTTATTATTAAACTTACAATTGACACATGTAAAATTTTTTTATATTTTCCGGATGTACCAGAATAGTCTCTGAATAATCCAGTTGATTTCCATAATTCATTTACATCTAAATTTTGAAAAGCTTGAAGTATTTTTCCACTATTTAATGAATATATATTCAAAAAAAATTTATTCTTATTATAAGTTTGAGAAAATAAAACATATTCACGTTTAGACCTTTCTATGAATGTAATGTGATAACCATCTGAGGGCTCTGATTTATCATATGAAGCATCTACAACGAACATTTTAAACTTGCATTCATTGATAATAAATGGAAAAAATGTGATATTTTTTTTAATTGTAATTCATTACCCATTCCAAAGAAATCAGATCCATTCAATTTTCTATATACAAAGCTGTGAGTATGTTCCAGATATTTTTTATAAGGATTATTAACTACTGTTGACATTTCATTGCCGGTTTCATTAATTTCTCCCCAATAACAACTATACTCAGGTTTATTATTTTTCCCTTGATTAACTAGTGTACAAAAACTCAGGTCTTTGGAACAATGAAGCATTTTTAAATGTAATCTAATAGGATAAAATTTCTTTATATTTGTATTTGGGTCTAATTTGCTTTCCCACCAAAATTTTGCAAATGGACCATAATGCAGAGTGCTCACAATAGATCCAGTTTCAATAAAACTTGAATTAAATTCAATTGACATTTTAAAATGATAATTTTGCAAGAATAGAATTTTTTAAATATTTATTGTGTAACGGGGATGTAAAATATTTTTTTGTCGATCTTTTAATATAAAATTTCCCCCGTATTTTTATAATAAATTGATCAACATTTCTCTCATTCATAGACGGATCATCAATTAATAATTAATAATGAAATTTTTATTCACCTTCAGCATTTAAGAGAAAAGAGCTAAAATCAAGATTATCTAATGAACTATCATTACTTGTATAACTTTTTAAGCTTTTTGATTTAGCAATCTCTTCATCCAAGGTTCTACTTGTATGATATGCATCTGGATGTGATTCGTATACTTGTTGCGAATCACTATTACCACCACTGCTGCTGCTATCATGATTTTTAATTTTAGGAAACTTGAATAATCTTTTTATTAAACTATTATTCTTACTATTGTTTTTCAAACTTTCATTTTTAATAATATCATCTAGTTTATTATCAGCAAAATCACAAAGCTCTCCAATAGTTGGTCTTTTTGATGGATCTACATCCCAACACTTCTGCATCATTTGCACATAATCTCCAGGCATCCCAGGTAATATTGGTGGTCGTAAACCTTTTGCACATATATCAAAAATCAAACGATGATTGTGAGCTCTATCATCAAATGGTGGATGACCTGCAAATACTTCCCACATTAACATCCCAACACTATAGATATCTGATTCTTTGGCGTTCTTTGCATTAATTTTGCCTCTAAGTAGTTCGGGTGCAACATATGATACAATTCCATACACTTTATTTGATGATTTTTCATCAATTGGTCCACATAATCCCAAGTCTGTAATAAAACAATGACCTCCTTGCACAAGTATATTACCACTATGTAAATCACAATGGATTAAATCTTTCCGATGTATATCATTTAATGCATAACATAAATAATAAAATATTGTAATTCTGTCTTTTAATGTTAAATGACTTTTTTGTAAGTAACCCCTTAAATTTCCATCTGATAAATAATTTAAAACAATTGCATAATTTCCATTATCTGGGAATTTAGTTATACCATAACACCGAACAATCAGTGGTGTTTTAATTTTACAATAATTTACTGCCTGAAAATAAATAAAATCAATTAGTATTATATAATACAGTATTGTTTATTTTGTTTTAAATGACAACTACCAACCTCATCAAAAAATGCTTTTCCAGGATTACTTGAATCATTTAAATTTTTTAATACTACTAGTTGCTCTTCTAAATAACTAAATTCCTTTTTATTTTCGTCATAATCAGTAATACTTCCTCTTGTCCATGTAGCAGTATAAATTGAACTAAATCCACCTTCTGTCAACTTTGTTACTTTTATGAATTGCTCAAAAGGTATCCATTCTAAAATATATCTTGGAAAAGATGAAAGTATTTGAGATTGTTGAATAAAGTTGTCAACTATGTTATTTCCAGATGTCCAGGTGGTGAAAAGACTCTGTAATTGTAAACTAATACAACCTTCACAGAACCTATCAGAGTAACTTGTCAATTTACATTTGTTACATTCTTTTGGTTTTCCTGATTTATTTCATGCATTTCCTAATTCAAAATTATAAATAAACCTTTCCTTACAAAATTCTTTTTCATTTTCAGAAAGCTCCTTGTTTTTCTTGACTAATGAAAAAAAATAATCTTTTCTACTTTCTTTATCAGAATTATTAGCATTAGCATTATTACGCATTCCATTATCAATTTTAAATACAATTTCCCTTCTTTCTAGTGATAACGATGATAATAGTTTATTATGTGACATTATGTAAAAATATAAAATTCGACTTGGTGTTTTAATAAATGAGAATAACTTTTTCTTTGTGGAGCGGAGAATTGAATGACGTGTAACAACAATTTTTTCGTACAACATTTTTTATTTGAAGAACAATCGTGATTCAATAATAAAAGAAATTCTTTGAAGATTTAAAAGTGATAAAAATAGAAAACAAAATTAAAACTTATGAAATTTTTTTTTTAATAATAAAAAACTTTTGTTATATCGAATTTATTAATAGAATCTTGTTACAACGAACAACGAATTTAAATATGTATCAAAACCTGTCTTTATGTGTTATGTAAAGGTCGTTCGTTCTAAGTACCAATATTGATCAATTTATGTTATTTTAAACTCAGACACCAAAGACAGCTTAAGCATACTATTAATATTATTATTGCGTATCACTATTACGCGTAGCTAACTTCAAAGTTAAAAAATTCGAAAAAACATTTACATTTTATGAAAAGTAATAATAAAAGAATGATTTTAATTTGTAGAAAAGAGGAAAAAAATAAGTAATCTAACAAAGTAAAATTTCTAATTTAAATTATAACATTTATAAACTTCCCATGATGATTATTCTTCTTGCATCATTGCAATATACAGGAAATGATATAATAATTCTTTATTCGTCTCGGGGCATACATTTTTACACTTTTGATAATCCTACTTTATCATTATCATTATTGCTTGCTTGTATCAAGTGTTTTTACTTGCGTCAAATATTTTTAATTACATCAAGTGCTTTTACTTTGGCCAAATCGTCAAAATGGTCTAGTGGGAAACTACCTCTAGTCAATACTTTAGTTACGTCAACGACTAAAAAGTTTTGTCATACATCATTAGATACTAGGAAAAATCTCGGCTTTGAAGTGAAAAAGTAACACCATCTTTGAATAACTATAGCTTAATATGAAGAACATCTTTTCAATATGAAAAGGTATTTGTTAGAAAGTTTTTCTTTACATTAATTAATCATCAAGTTCATTATAAAAATAATGAGATATTTTTCTTCATTAAAAAATTTTAATATAAAAATGAATGTCAGATTAGAAAAAAACAATTATAAGAACTAAGAAACATCAGAGACGAAAAAGGCAACACGGCTGTTGGAGATCTACATCTCTCATACGGAAACTGCTGTTTTGCCCATTCTGGCCATTTTTGGCCAATAATGTTGGCCGGCTAATGGTCAAATTCCAACATTGATTAAAGCATTTCGATTGTCTGAAGTCATCCGACTTGTTCATCCCTCTTTTCAGCTGTGGAGAAATTCCACGGTGCTTAATTGCACAGTGCTTGCATGTTTGAATGAAGAAACCTATTAAATTTAACACATGTGATAAAGGTTGACATGTTACCCTGCAACTGTAGATCGAATACATAATTCCATTAAGTGTAGGATCAAAAACAACATCACAAACAACCACACAACCTTCTTCACCCGAACAACTCCAACCCCAATCATCAACTCAAAATGACAATCAATTACCCCAACTACCATCATCAGATTTATTATCATCAAGAGTGCCAAGTTTAATATACCTTGAACATATCCAGGATGTTGTCCAATGCCAACTCTGCCTACTTATTTTATCTTTATTTTTTTTTTGGAAATGATTTTTAAAAACTCTACAACTTGTATGCAATTTGGAAGTGTACATACACACAAAAAAAGGGAACCAAGTAGATACTCAATCACTAAAAATTTTTCCGCAACACCCTGGATGGGACATCGTCCCACACGAAAAAGAAGATCAAGGGTTTTGTTTTCCAACTCTGTTAAATTTCTCATCCTTTACTCATCAGGATATTTCAAAAATCGGTTCCTTAAAAGTTTTGTTCGTGCGTGATCTTGATATTACTTAATTTATTTATAAAAGGAATATATATAACGCATATTCATCATGAATTGTAACAGACATACGGAATTTATGGCGACAAATGCATTCACATCCAAGAAAAGGATTTAAATAACAACAAAAAGATAATGTTTTATTTATT